GTAAAATCTTAAATGACAAACCCAGCTCTATAGTTACAGATAAAAAGTATTAATTGGGGGATTATGTTTTGACAGAACAAATTTATACAGATCTATTTTTTTCATAAAAAATGTCAAACTGGTCTACAAAAGATGGGTAAGGCAATAACTTCCACAAGAAAGTCTTTGCTCCATTTTGGACTACTTGACACCAAAATAGCTTTGCCTTTTATTGGTATTAAGAATGAGAGACAGATACAAATATTCTATAATATGATTTTACTGTATTGAAAATATTCTGCTTTTTTTTTCCTCTCCAAAACAGGAATATACTATTGATATATTTTTTGCCCAAACATGGTATGACAGACGTTTGAAATTTAATAGCACCATTAAAGTTCTCCGGTTGAATAGCAACATGGTGGGCAAAATCTGGATTCCAGACACTTTCTTCAGAAACTCTAAAAAGGCTGATGCCCACTGGATTACCACCCCCAACAGAATGCTGAGAATTTGGAATGATGGTCGTGTACTCTACACCCTAAGGTATGCTTTTGAAAAGGAAAAGAGTAATTGCTGGGAATAAAACAGAAATCAACTGTGTACTCTTTAAAAATCAAAGGAAGAAGAAAAGAAAAAAAATCTCAAACCTACATCAAGATTGGCATGTTTGATTATAATAGTATTGAAACCGTTCTCTATTTCTATTATTAATGAGCTTTTTTTTTTTTTTTTTTTTTTAATTAATGAGCTTTTTCAAAGCACTAATCATAGATAGAACTTCTTATACCTGGTGTGAGAATTCTTTTTTCTCACAAATAAAATAAAATTCCCACTTTACTTTTATTTATTTATTTATTTTTTGGTAATATAACCATGCACAATTCTTCGCTTTTCTGGCTGGGTCCTGCTACTCTAGAATATGGAAGCTAAAATACTGTCATGTCTGTGGGACACCAGCTCTTATGCTTGGAAATGTCTTCACTTCCCAGGAAATCATTGCTAAAGATTTTTAGTGCAGAAGTCCCCATATATCTTTCTCTGTATTTCCTGCACAAAGGCCAATACCTAGAATCTATTCCATCTTTTGGTGCCCTGCTCCCCATTACATTAATAGATTGTGGGGTTTAATTTTTGGTTTATTTTAGGAATAGACATCTTTTGAGGAAAATGGAAGGAGATAATTTTCATGCTCTGAATTTAAATATTAGGTAACATTTAAAAGGTTTTTTATTTAAATTATTTAATGCCATTATCTTAGCTCTTTATACTTAATATGCATTTAACAGAGGTTTACACAGAAGTTTCTGGTTGGTGACAGTGTATCATTAAACAGTCTAATATCATAGATAAGTACGTACACCCAGGACGCAGACAGATCTGGCTTGTTTGTTCGCTCCCTATCTTATCGCTATCAACTAGGGAAACTTTACAGAATATCTCTGTATGGGGAAAGCTATCTGGTAGCAAAGATCTTAGTGCTGGAAGAGATCTCAAAACTTTGCCTAGTAACTATGATGTTTTCATTTAGAGAAGTAAAAGCTAATTATAGTAGGAAAAAGGCATTACTACCAAGTACCATCCTTCACTCCACCTCCTCCTTCCCCATCACTGAACAAGCTTTTTTCACCTTTCATTTCTTTAATTTCTGTAAAATAGAGATAATGATTCTTATCTTACAAAGTTGTCATAAAGACAAAATGGGATGATATGTAAAGCGCTTAGCAAAGAGTACCCAGTAAGAATAACAGATGTCAAAATTACCTGTATATATTTTCACTAAAAATATAAATATGATTTTCCTAGATCATGGTATCCTAGAATGTCTAGTTTCAAAATGATTCATGTTAAATGAACTTTTTGTCACATACATTTTATACCATATATAGTATTCAACATATAAAATACAATACTTTTAAATGGCTTCAAAATCTTTTTAATAATATATATCAGTTACTAGGGAAAATGGCCACAATTACCAAAAAAAATAAAAAGTCATAAACACTACACATAGTTTATATTCATCTTGGGTTTCAATAAATCAGAGGTCAAGTAATGACTAGAATTAGAATCTAATGGAAATCAAAGTCAATCTGCTAAATCAGAGCTTAGTTTAAATCTTGAAATATGAAATCAATCATACTGTCTCAAGTCCCTTCATTATTTTCAAGACATTGTAGTCACTTTCGACTTCTATTAATTTGCAAAATCAATATAATATTTAATTTTAGAAGCCCCCTCAAAATGTCACTCATGAGATCCAATCAAGGTTTCACTGGTCACTAATCTCCATATAAAAATGATTTTGTTCTTGCCGCATAACTGTAAATAGATGAGAGACAACATGTGTCTGTGTGCTCATGTGCATAGATAAATATTCCTATACCTATGTTTGATCTGCTAACAGTATTTTTTAATTTTCATCATTTCCACTATAATTTGAAGAAATAATGCTAATAAAATTTCTTATTAAATTTGGGACCAGCAGTTGGCATAATGACTATGTCACTGGATTCCCATGCAGTTGACCGTGGTTCGAGTCCTGGACCCGGTGACTTAAACTTACGCCAAGCACATGTGCACGAGTGCCCAAGATCCTGAGAGGAGAATGGAGGAGAGTGGATTGTGTTGTGGCCATCACCCCCAGGGGGCTGATTTCTCACTTTCTGTCTCTCTGTCTCTCTGGTGAACGCATGTGCCCAATAGCAAAAACCTCTCCAAAAATAAAATAAATTGCAATTTTATTTATGAATACAAATAACTTTTTTTGAAGAGCATGAAATTATCAAGTAACAACAATTAAAACCTCCAGCTTTGGAGACAGTTACATCTGGGTACAAATCTTAACCATGTTGCCAGTTATGTAACTTTGGACAAGTTCAAGATTAATGAGACAATAATAATACCAAATGAGAAAACAATTCACTTCCCACTGCCTCATAGTCAAGTAAGCTCTCAATAATTATGAGATATTCAAGAAGTAATTGTCCTTTTATACCATGGAATAATAAAATCCCAATGAAGATTTATGCAAACTGCAAAGTCTTTTAAAATAAAATTTCTTTAGAAAATAGCATGTTTCTTACTTCAAGTAATATGTGCACATTGTAAGAAAAATAGCTAATAAATATGAAATTTGAATAATCATCAACACTTCACCATTACAATTTGGTGTTGTATCCATACTTCTCGAAAGATGTTCAAATCATTTGGGGCGCCTTTAAATATTCTCATTTCTGGAGTCCTAGTCCAGGACTTGAGACTCACAAAATCTTCATGCTCTTTAAATAAGCACCTCAGATGGAAACTAATTGAATCACAATTAATCACACATTTTTCTAATATATCTATGCATGTGTATTTAACATTTCTTGTTTGCCATTAGACATTTTTCTACTTTATAACATAAGAGTTAATGACTTCATAGTGTTCTATTGTAAGAATCCATAATATGCCCTCGTATTACACAGGTATTTTTAAACTCACCTACAGTAATTTAAAGCTAACAGCTAGAAAGTACTTCCAAACAACAGGTCCTACTTTAATTAGCATGTAAGATTTGAGAATATCAGTATTCCTTTGTATGCAAACAGTAAATAAGTTCATGGCCTTAGAAAAGTTCATTCTATTAAGTTAGTTAAGCTATTTCATTTTCACTGAGCAATCTCATGTGAGTTTATGCTCCAAAAAGCAAAAACTTGTGTTCAGAAATTTTGAACACATAAGGTTGAAGTGATGAGATGTTATTGTTTGCTCAGTGAAAAAGAACATACTGCATTGTCTTACATAAACTTTTCCTAGTTGTAGTGGATTTCTTCAGCGAAGATAGCTTTCTGTTTTCAATAAAAATGTGAGATATACTCTCCAGGAATAAAGACAAATGATTGTTAGAAATTGTGCTAATGTACATTTTCAGAAATGATGTCTAAAATCTTTCTATTTGTGTTTACTATCCATTTAGGTTGACAATTGATGCTGAGTGCCAATTACAGTTGCACAACTTCCCAATGGATGAACACTCCTGCCCCCTGGAGTTCTCTAGCTGTAAGTCAGATTCTTCTATATTCTCTATCGCCTTTCCTTTATGGTCTTCCTGATTGTGATGTCAATTAATTGGGAGAATCACAGAGAATTGAAAACTTATATTAAGGTCTATTGTAGACTTTGAAAATTTTGATGGTCTCTTTTAAAATAATCACAGCTTTTACCTATTAGTCCAATTCCTGCAAAATAGTCTATCTGTTTTATCAGGAATTACAAATAGTTATCATTAGGTTGCAAACTTTTAACAAATTACCAATGGTTGCATGTCATCCTTGGTTAAGACAAATGATAAGGCCAGGCCTGGACTCAATAGAAAAATTGCACTGGTTGATTATATGTCCTCTACCAACTTCTTTCCATGGGCCAAACCAACAAGCATGGTATCCCACTGCTAGTTAAGACCTCTTCTATAGGAATAATGTTTTGTTGATATATTTGTAAAGTGCTTGACATGCTACCTAACGCAGAATAACATTAAATAAAGGACACTACTCTTTTTAAATTATTACTATTATCAGATTCCAGAATATAGCCAGAGGACCCATGATGCTTCCAAACACATCAAGCTTTTGTAACCTTCACAGATGCTTTTGACTTGACCCACAAAAGAGCAAGCCCTAGTTTCCTAAAATGTTTCCCTTACTATTTGTTCAATATCCATGTTAATGTGCTCACCTTCTCCTTAGTTTTATTCTTGCAATTGTGCATATTAGGCAGAATGTAACTTCTTTATGGATTTTAAATTTATACAAGGGAACTTCAGGAAGTTTGTGAGAAAATGGATTTAAAGCACAAATTTATTTTGGTGCAAAAACAATTGAAGTCCATGCATAGTTTTTTCACAATATGCAATGTTCATGAACTTGTTGAAAACTCCTCAGAATTTCATAGAAATAGTCTCCCAGCCAGATACTCAGGGAGACTCTTAATAGCCAATAAAATCATAATAATGATAGTTAAGATTTTAAAAACTCAGTGACCAAGAGAAATGATCATCTGTTTATCATCTCATCAAATCCAGAAGGAATTAGAGAAAAATATATCACTGTATATCATATATTTTTAAAAAATTCCCATTATAAATCTTATTTAATATTTTAACTCATCCAAGAATGGGACATAAAGGGAAAGCATCCCTAATCTTTAAAGAGATTAGACTTCTTGTCTTTTAATCATCCATATAGAACTACTTATTTATTTATTTATTTATTTTTGGAGAGGTTTTTGCTATAGGGCGCATGAGCTCGCCAGACAGACAGAGACAGAGAGACAGAAAGTGAGAAATCACCCCCCAGGGGGGATGGCCACACTGCAATCCCTTCTCCTCCATTATCCTGTCAGGATCTTGGGTACGCACGCACATGCACCCGGAGTGAGTTTTAAGCTACTGGGTCCGGGACTCGAACCGCGGTCGACTACATGGGAGTCCAGGGACATAGGCATTACGCTAACTACTGGTCCCCATGTAGAACTAGTTCTGTCCTGCGTTAACTAAAACTCAAGAACTGGTGCTTCTGGGTCATCAGTTTGCCAATTGACAACTGTCCTCTGAACTCAAACACAGTAATATTTATTGCTCTGAGAACATTTAGTCCCCAGCACATACTCCATGGAATGTTCTCCATAATTGCTCTTTTCTTTAGTTTTCAATACATCCTGCCACACACCCTAATGATAATTCTCTAGAGATTCTCTCGTTTTTTTTTTCTTATTAGTTAATGAAATATAAAAGACAAATAGTTCACCCAAAAAGAAAAGCAGAAACATGTGAGATTTATTCCAAGTAGTTGATTAGGCTCCATAGTTGAGACTTATCTTTACAACTCTGTATTAGATGACAAATGATTGAGATGATTTCTAGCTTTTATTTATTTATTTATTTTACTTGAAAATACTTATTTGATAGTTTTTTAAAATGTTTACCAACTACATTGGGACCGGCAGGTGGTGTGGTGGTTAAGGGCACTGGACTCCCACATGGCCAACCACGGTTTGAGTCCTGGACCTGGTGGCTTCCTTTCTCACTTTCTGTCTCTCTCTCTCTCACTCACTCTGTCATTCTCTGATCAAATTAAAATAAATAAGTTAATTAAATAAAGTAATTCTTTTTTTAAAAAAAAATGTTTACCAACTACAAGGCCAGTAGGTGGTGTGCTGATTCAGGCACTGGTCAACCATGGCTAGAGTCCCGGGCAGGGCAGCTTGCTTTCTCACTCCCCCTGTCCCCCGCCCCCCCCCCCACCACACACACACTGTCTCTCTCTGGTCAAATAAAAAAATAATAGTAATTATTTTCATAAGAAAATAAATCATTTAAAAAATATAAGGTATTGTCCCAGGGTATTATGACTAGGAAATTATACTCGTAACTAGTAATTTTTCCTGTCTTTCAGTACAATTCCTTTTTCATGAAGCTCTTTTGTTTTCTTGGTATCAAGCACAAAGCTATCCCCATTGGTATGTCTAGTTACTGCTTTTAATTTCATATCTCTATATGTATCAAAATGGAATTTCAACAAATGAGAGAGAGAGAAGAATATAAAGAGCTGAGAGTGTTTTTCTCAACCAAATCCCACTCCCCAAGGACATGCTTTGGAGAGAGATTTGAGTCTGCTTGTTCAGCTTATTTTCTGCTTCTACAATACCTGACCTAAAATCTTGCCCTGTTGACTACTCTTCAGTTTGAAATGGAATATTGCATATCTACTGGTCATTTTTTATTACAGACTGATCACTTTTTATGCATTACCCCAAACAATATAAAGCATACAGCATAAGCAAAACCATTTATTATATACCTGTATGAATTTTTTTTTTTTTTGAGAGGATTTTGCTATAGGGCACATGCACTCACCAGAATAAGAGAGAGAGAGAGACAGAAAGTGAGAAATCACCCCCCAGGAGGGATGACCACACCACAATCCCTTCTTCTCCATTCTCCTCTTGGGATCTTGGGCATGCACTCACATGAGCCCAGCATGAGTTTAAGCCACGAGGTCCAGGATTCGAATCTCAGACGACTACATGGGAGTCCAGCAATGTAGCCATTATGACAAACTGCTAGTCCCTAACCATATGAAATTTAAATGCTTTTCAGGGGTAATTTTGATCTTCTGAGTTTTTAATCTTATTTCACATTAGGATATGGTATCATCATATTTATTTCCCCTACTACTTCTCCATAGACCAGCAGTCTCCTCTAACTTATAGCTCTGTCTGTCTCAGTACTTACCTCAGTGTTTTGATCACAGAAAGCAATGACTACACATATTGCTTTATAACCATTTTTTAATATGAGCTTTCCTATCCCATGCAGATGGCTATCCACGAGAGGAAATTGTCTATCAGTGGAAGCGTAGTTCTGTTGAAGTGGGTGACACAAGATCTTGGAGACTCTATCAGTTTTCATTTGTTGGACTGAGAAATACCACAGAAGTGGTGAAGACAACTTCTGGTAAGATCCACTTGAAAAGATTTTGCAGTGACTCTTCCAGAGTTAAAGTTCTGGTATATATGATTTGAAAGTTTTTTTTTTTTTTTTAATACCTGTCTACAAATGATATTCAGAAAATTAAATGAAGTGTTTTAATTTCCTAGAGAAAATTATAATTGGTATTTTAGTAGAATAGATAAATATAAATGGATTCTATCAATTTGAAGCAAATTGGATTCAAATTGATTTAGTAAATAATTTACTCATTTATTTAAGCAAAAAATTGAATAGCAGTTATTAAAAAGGAAATATTTTATTAGGTATAAGTTAATTGTTTCTTTTAGGAAATATGTTTTATAATATTAAAATAGCAGGATTATAATGTACAATAGTCATGTCAAAACAATGAATTTCCCAAAAATGCAGAAAATTACCACAGTGGATTTGTACTCATTGTTCATTCTGTAACTTAGTATTTCAGATTTCACCCTTAGATAAGAGACCAAGTTTCAGTCCTGGACAGGCTTGCATTCAAATCTCAGCTCCATATGGTTTCAGATACAAATGTTAGGCAAATCTATTGAATCTCTTAAGGGTTCTGTTTTCCTAGTTACATGGATAAAAAGAACTACATCATCAGGATTCTGTGCATATATCCAAAAAAGTGAAATATATATATATATATACACATATACATATATGTATAAATAAAATGATATCTGCCACTCAATATGTATGTATCAGTTCTTACTAATATTAATTATAATTATCCAGTGTGCATGACACATAATTTATCAGGACTTTAGATTTTTCAAGAGATACCAAATCAATATTTTATATAAAATCCCATTATTTTTAGTAGTATTAAGTAATTGATTTAAAACCTTGTGTGAAGCAAGTTAAAAGTACCTTCAGGGACTGGCAAATGGCTGGACTATCATGCAGTCATCCATGGTTCAAGTCCCAGATCCAGTGGCTTAAACCTCATTCCAGGCACGTGTGTGTGCATTCACAAGATCTGAGAGGAGAATGAAAGAGAAGGGACTGTGGCATGGTCATTCCCTTGGGGGATGATTTCATTTTCTGTCTCTTTCTCTCACAAAGTATAGCAAAAATCTCTCAAAAAAAAAAGTACTCTCAGATTAGTGCCAGCAGGTGGCATAGTGGTTGTGATGCTGGACTCCCACATGGCTGACAGCAGTTTGAGTCCCAGACCTAAAACTCACACTGGAAACATGTGCATGAATGCCCCAAATCAAGAGGACAATGGAGAAGAAGGGATTTTGGTGTGATCATTCCCCCTGGAGGATGATTTCTCACTTTCTCTGTCTCTCTCTGTCTCTCTGGTGAGCAAACAAATCCCATAGCAAAAATTTATTTATTTTCAGACCAAGTCTGTCTCATGGCTTGTTTGAACTCTCCACAATGCTGAATATATATTCCATGCAGATCACTCCAGCTACTTCATTTTAAATTATGTAAATTTAAAATATTTCTCAATTTCAAATACAAACATTGTGTTCTCAGTTTACCATCTGTTATATGTAATATGAAATACACTTTCATGAGTTGAGCTAGTTTCTGTTGATTTATTTAATACATACTTGATTTTTTTCTAAATTTCATAGGACAAATTTTGAGTTCAACAATTTAGAACAAGGCCTAGTTCTATTGTACAGAAAGAAGTAAATTAAGGACCTACAGAAAGATGAAAATTTAAGATTGAACCTTTACAAACACCTTCCTCTAAATTAAAGTTATTGGGCCTATCATTGTTTTCAGCATTTGCAAGTTTTCCTAAAGGTTCTCTTATTTTGAAAAAAATAATTGGAAAGAAGATCAAAGCAATGCTCAAATATAGTTTTGAAAAAAGTGGCCTTCTGTTCTCTTAGTCACAAGAAATCCTGACCATTAAGTACAAGATTAATCTTTCATTTGGTCTAAAATAAAAAAGTTCAGGATTGTCTTAGAACTGAAGTCTTCCATCTGTGAAAGGAGGAACATGTGTAAAAATAATCTCCAATTCTGCATGTTTCCAGAATGAGAAATTGGGCTTTAAGTTCTGTTTTATATTTATATTTCTATAATTATTTCAGCACCCTAAAACAGAACCCACAAACTCATGACTAGCAGATTTTTTGTGCAGTCGTTCTGAGTACCAAGTAGCATTAAGACCGAGTGGCAGCAGCAAAGTGCTGGTTTTACATCACAGGGCATTACCCCCTCCTCAATGTCTCCGACTAACAGTGATCTAGAGCATTTACTGAGTACTAAGAGATACTTGCAGAAGAAAACGATCTACTATTTTAAGTATGGCAAGAAGAATTATTAATGTCCCAAGAGGCTACTAATACTCTTTGGGAAATTACAGCAAAACTGGATTGAAAAGATACTAGATTTGGGTTTGGTTGGCGTCATATAACAGATCTCATCAAATATCTGGTGAATTTCATTATGGCGGTTAGGCTCCATACTGGTCTTTGGCACTGCTTTCTCTTGTTGGTTTGTATTTTATGTGCAACACCATTTCAATGTCCCTTGAGAAGAGAATGGGCTGAATTGAAAATTAGCATCAGTACTGCAAAGCAGCCTGACTCTTGTGACAATTGCTTTTGTAAGAACTGGAAGGTTTTGCTTTATATATTTTAAAATTTCCTTTGCCATTCTTAGTTTGGAAGAACTACTCTGTATCTAATAGTTAATATCCACAAGGAAGTTATATCAAGAACTTTCCTGGGAAATTATCAGAAGTTTAAGCCTTAACCCAATTTTCTAATGTGGCCATTAGTATAATGTGGTTTTCTTCTAGACTTGTAGTAAATATATCTCCCTTTAAGAAGAGACATGAAACTGGATGAGATTTGAGACTATTGACTAAAATACGATATAGCTTGGTACAGAGTTTTCTGATCTTCACTCATTCAAGCTTTGTTATATTCAATAGGTGACTACACTGCTGGTTCCTCACTATGTTTTTTTCTTCAGATCGATTCATTATTTTGAATAAAATGAATGTTTTTTAAAGGGAAAGTTCCTAGTAAGACTATAATTAGAACATAGACACATTTGCTATAAATAGAAATTGACATAAAAACGTAATAAAGAGCTAAGAAAAAGTTCTGAAATTTTAAGTGTATATATTTCTGTTTCCCAAACTCTGGGTTTGTTGATAAGGAGATAATGAGGGAGAGAGAAACAGAGATAATAGGTTTATAGTGTAATGAAACTAGTCCCATAGTAAAACAGTGTCCTTGATATAAATGGGATAGAAGAAGCATTTCACAGGAAATAATTTTAAATAATAATTTAATTCTCTTTGATCATCCTAGTACCCACACCTAACTCATCTTGTACTACCAGTTGTATCTGTACCACGTTTGAAAGCAATACTTCCTTGGAGATAGCAACTTATCTAGGATGGCATGAAGAATGCCTTTCGTCTGGAGTCAATAACATCAGAACAGATTTTTTAAATCTATGATTTCTCCTCCAAACCCTCCTCTCTTCCTGATTGCTCTATATCTGGTAAAAACACCACCAGTGCCTCGGTGAGCCAGGCATGAACACTCAGAGTCATGTCTCTGCCTCCCACATCTAATGAATCACGAAGGCACTTATGCCTCTGAAATATCTTGTGTAACTGTCCTCTTTTCATTTGCCATTGCCACTGTCCTAGTTTACAATTTTGTCTGTTCTTATCTGGACTGTGTCAGTAGCTTACTGAGTTACATTTCTGCTGTCAGTGCCTCTCCTCCACAGCAGCGCTTCCTATGTTAATAACAGCTGGCGGGTACTGAATACTAACAATGTGCACCACAGCGAGCACCCTGTGTAAATGACCTGCTTTCATTCTCATAACCGCAATCATATTTAGCATGTCAGAACTGATGCTATCACTACAGATGGGGAAAACTGAGACGTCAAGGAGTCCATTTATTTGTTGGGATCAAACACAAGCACTGGAACACAAATTCAAGAGGTCCACTCACAGACTTCTACTTTTAATCACTGCACTATTTCACTCTCACTCTGCCTCCGTGAGGGCTTGATATACAACTTCCTTCAAATTTCAAGAATTCAGTTGGTTGAATTGAGCACAATTATTGTTTCTAATATGGAAGAGTCTGATCTCAGGAACTTTCCAGCACTGTTCTGTGGTTTCTCAGCTGTGACAGAACTCTTAATATTTTCCTGAATTTAACTGGCCAGTCCAATACCCACACGGAATCTCTGTCTCCTTCTTGCTTGAATGGCTTCTCAACTCGTCTGTACCCTCTCATGGCTTTGATTTTCAAGTTGAAGTAAATAGTGCCTCCTTAGTGATACATTTATAGATCTTAACCCCAAAACAATACAAAACAACACCATTCTTGTCAATGTAGACTCTTAGAGTCAGGCAGCCTAGGTTTGATACTAGCTTTGCATTTGTTAGGCATGCCTTTTTTATTTTTAATTATTTATTTATCATTATTATTTTTTTACAATTTACTACAGGACATGTGTGCTCACCAAAGAAAGAGAAAGAGAGAGAGGGAAAATGAGAAAGCAAGCTGCCAGTTCCAGGACTTGGACCATGTCAACCATGTGGGAGTCCAACATCTTAACCAGCTGGCCCTGAGGCATGTCTTAAATTATGTGTGGCCAGCTGGTGGTGTGGTGGCTAAGGTGGCTGTATTCCACATGGCTGATTGTGCAGTTTGAGTCCTGGACTTGGCACCCTGAAAAACACACCAGGCCTGTAAACATGTATGCCCAAAATCCTGAAAAAAGAAATGGAGGGGAAAGGATTGTGGAGTGACCATGCCCCATGGGGGTGCCATCTCACTTTCTCTCTGTCTCCTTCTTCCTCTGGTGACTGCATGCCTCCTCTGGCAAAATTAAATAAGTAAATAAGTAGAAAAACGTCAGCTCCATGGGTGAATCCCATGCTCATTGCCTTATTTCTAAAATATCTATAATTTACTCTGTGTTGTCGAACTTTGCACATCAGTCTCCAACCATCCTGTTTTCCTTCCCTGAGA